TTTGGTCCAACTGCATGCCCTGTCGTGTACAGACAAATGGACACAACGTGCGAGCGGAATTTTGGCGCGGAATTTTTCTTTTGACCACGGTAAAAGCGAAAATTCTGAAGCCTTTTCATCCCGTGAGGCACACACAGACGTTTGAGCAGGTGGGTGTTGTGATCATGTGATCTGAGTGTGGTGAGTGTGGAAACTATGAATTTTCTTACGGTCGAAATGCAACTAAGTCAGGTTTTATCAGTGAGTATGCATTAGCAGCTAGCAGATACTGTTTTTCATTATAGAACAGTGATGGAAAACATGATCAAACTGAACACCGAGGGTTTTCAGTGATGCTTTTCATTCTTGTCTGCTTCAAACAACTGGTTGTGGTCGATAGTGGCAGGGCAAACCTAATGCGGGTAGTATTACTCGCGAAGTCCACTTCAATCCCTGCTCGTGAGCTGAGATCCACAGAACATGACGGACGGGAAGCAGTTTGTTCTCTAATCGTCAAGTCACACATTCACACCACCGACGTTATTTGTGAGCGCCTTTCCGGCAAACTCTTCACTAGCTCAACTTGTAATATCACGTGATTAGCGCGACCGTTCAACTTGCACTAACACAAATGATTTTTCTATTGTTTCATCGATTAATGAACCACGCTAGTCAGGAATCGATACAGTGAAAATTCATTCGCGACCACAGTCACACAGAGGCTGATATCTCGGCGTCCTAGGGCGTTTCACCGTGGCACAAAAACAGCACTCTGACTATGTAGTGCATCTATGGAATCAATACCATGAGCCTGTCATCTTTCGCCTTATTGTACCGATGCAAATGTCTATGTAGCCCTGGTCCTTGAAGCCACTGTGAATTCGGGCTATGACTTTGTATTTACTGATTCACAAAGAATTAGGCATTGTTTGTTTGGTATTATTTTTAGTTCACGAATGACAACCAAAGTTTTAAATCAATAGGAGTCCTACCACATCATGAGATACTTTGGGCAACCAGAAACCGGAAGGATCATCTCTCAACATCCCCACCATCGATCTATCCATCTACCAACCCTAGCGATGAATAAAGTTGACTGTTAGAAACGCAAAATGCAAATCTATCTGGTCGTTAGGAGTGTGGTTTCACCGGCATAATCTCTTACATGATCCAATCTGATAAATGTCATCTCTCTGACAGGCGAGTGCTATTCAGATTGATCGCCACATTTTGATCACAATGACAATATGCTGTTTATCGGATCTATCTAGATCACCACGGCCCTGCATGTTTACCAACTGTTGTTGACACGCTGGTTCGCATCGTGTGATTGCGAATGTGAAAGCAAATAATAAATCCTGAACACAGAACTGGCCGTCGGTTGAAAGCCACAGATCTGAATTTCTGTGCTGCGGAGTAGCATGAATCCCTCCTCCCTACCCCGCGCGCTCTACAGTTTGCGAACACACATTCTCTCTTTTTTCGTTGTGTGGATGCCCGCGCACATCTGTGCACTAACCATTACACGCACGCACAGCGGTGTACTGGAATCAATGACTACAGTGTTGTTGTTGTTGTTGTTACCTGTCAGGCTGCTACCCTGATGAGTGATTATCATTCGATCCCCCTCTGTGCTTCCCGTTTACTCACCCACTTACTCACTTATTGATCACCCATTCTCATGTATCCCAACGAGTCCTTCTGCGCCTCCGAAAACCTCAGTATGCTCGGGGTGAGTGTCTCGGGTTGTGACTGGTCACCATTCCCTTACACCTCGCGAAATGCTTCTGCATGACCAAGCGTCTCAAATAGTATTTGCTGAGGAAGCCCTACTCCCTGAGAGCACAAAAAGCCGACATCCGGGGCTATAACCGAGTTGGTGAACCATTGGCAGTTCACCTAGGGGAGTTGACCAACTCTGATTCCAAACCAAACACGAAGAAGCCTACGAATCGCACACACACAAACCTGGTTGTGGCAGGGGTCACCGTCTCGATTGGACATCGAATTGCATTGGGCACCTTGGACGTTTGACCCCGTCCGAAGGGCGTATGATTCAATGAACTGGACACCGGCCCCCAATGGACTGCGGAATCTGAGCTCCGTCCTGTTGTCTCACAGTTTTGGTTTTCTAGTCAAGGGCTTCGGGCGGGGACCCTGAGGTTATCCCCCTTCCTCGATCAGTACAACCGGGAAGTAACAGCATACGAACACACGTTCTACAGATTTCTTTTTGTTCATCTGTTGTGGCACATTTACCAGTTCTCTGTAATTGGTCACGTGTTGTTGAAATAAGTTCTCTTACAGATTGTTGCTTATTGGTTGTATTGGAATGTACGCGGCTTTGCCCGAGCCGATATGCATCTTCTACTGCATATAAAGTGAATTATACTGATAAAGCGGAAGGAAACAGTTCAAAGACATTCTATAAAAGGGAATTTGGGCGAACATTCACATAAGAGCCGGTTTACTGAGTCTACGTTTGAACGGTGAGAGTAGAAGAGTGTTCCACAGATTAACGGTCTCGAGGTCGGGGGTGGCAAAAGAAAGGTGAAATAGAGAAGAAAGGTATCTCGTGACAGAAATTTGATAAGATTAACTGAGCGAATGTGTTTGGAATGCACGGGTAAAAGTTATAGGGAGATGAACTCCTAAGAACAGGAACCAAAATAGTAACGCCAGAGAGGAGACAGTGAGAGAACTATCCAACGTTGGGCCTAGTGATTGAAGAGTAACAGTAAGGTCAACCGAATGATCTTCCGTTGAACTCAATCAAGAAGGGAAAGAGCACAAGTTGAAGCCTCACTTCATACACACTTCAAGTACATCGCGGATTCAGGCTCTTTGTACAGCAAAAAGAGAAGTGTGGAAGTGATGAAGCGTCCGGCGCGGAATAGAAAACCGAATTTGTAGGTCACTGGAGAAGCAGGCTGAGAAATAAAACGGGAACAGCATAACGAAAAACTTATAGATAATTCAAGAACATAAACAGAATGTGTCCTGCGCAAAGGGGTATTAACAAGGGGGAAATGGGGTGAGAATAAATGATAGTTCAGATATAGAAGGGAGGTTTTGGAAGGATCGAATGCAACATGATTGTGGTAATCCCAGGATGATAAGTGTTGGGTGTCTAGTCCTCAACTGCATACGGTCACGATCGATTTTAGCGCTGGTAAGGAGAGAGAGAGAAGTGCGGTTAGAGAAGTAGTACTGGATTGAAATTCTTGAATGGGAGATCATCGATAAATAAAGAATTTGGTATTTCCGAGGAAGTGACCGATTGATGAATAAAGGCGCAAACTCCAGTTGGGGCTAGATAAGAAGAGTGCAAAGTGTAGTTGGGGTCTTGAAGCTGGGTGATATCCGACGCGTGGGAGATTCGGATTTCGGTCAAAAACAGGGTGAGAGAAGGAGGACGGAAAAATTGTTGTACAGGATCAGTGTTACGATTCAGTCCGAGAATGTCGGTGTGAGTGATTGGTTCATAGGTATTTGGTGAGTAAACAGAACCTGTGCGCGCGAAAGAGAGAGAGCGTGTACGAT